GAACCAACACAGAAAAGATCAATGAGTCAGAAATCACTGAGAAAATAATACATAAGCTTCTTAAAGCATGAAATGTCAGATGATATGGCATTTTTCACGTATGTTTGAATCTGAAATTTCAAGAAAGACATATTTTCCCTGATTATGGAGTATTTGCTAACCTGCAGAGCCATTATTTTAGAGTCTTCTTTGGATCTTCTCTTGTGGACAACAGCAAAATGCTCAAAAAGGAAAAGAGCTAAAGAAACATAGAAGAATGGTAACCTTAAATAGAAATAATCAAAAGAAGTGTTGAGCTGTTCACCTGCCACAAGATGCTGCCCAGTGAAGTGCAGTCCATCCATTCACATCAAGGAAATCAACTCTTACACCAGCATCTATAGTAGGCTTCAAAGCCCAATCATAGCCAAGTGCAGCTGCCAAATGTAGAACACCTTGTCCATCCTCATCCAATATCCTAGGGCCATAACCACCTTCAGCTTTCTTCTGTAAGATCCATACACGCAACTTCTCTTTCAGATGCTTCTGAAGCAGCTGGTCCTTTAATTTTTCTGGGGAAAATTCCATTCCTGAACCAGTCTTTAACATCTGGTCCAATTCTTTGTTGTCCCCTTTCTGCAATGAACTGATTTTACTGCTCAACTGGGATGCATCCTCTAGGCTGCTGGTGACAGAATTTGTGGCACTGGAGGCTGACCACAGTATGTTATCAAAACGCAGAAGAAGATTTGCCTCGGCATTGCTACTATAGTTTTCAGCAGCATTTATATCTTGGATATTTAATTTCCCTTCAGAAGGAATGCTGGAAACATCATTCTCATTTTCATTCTCACCTGTTTCCCTGTTGGCCCCAGAACTGCACATCTTCTTTGAACCTTCTTCTGTTAAAAGTGCATTGACCAAATGCTGTCCTATAGAAGAAGAGTAGATTAATTTTCCCTCAAACTTCGAGTCACCATCTGAATCTAGGGGTAGAACATAACCGTCTTTTTCATTTGATAATGATTTTTGAAAGTGATTTTCCTTTGAATTATTATTTCTTAAATCTGGACGTTTCTGCTGAGGGTCAACAGAATCCATTAGTTCAAGGTGATTAACTTCTTGTTCATGAAATTTGGAAGTCGCATCACATGCTGATTCTGATAAAGATGAAGAACCCTCAACTGAAGCCTGTTTGGAATTCAAATTAAAGACTGAAAATAATTAAAATCAAAGCCAAATGCTAGATATATACTGTGATTTGATGCATCAAATTTTAGCAGCGTTAATCAGTCAGTACCTTTGATTTTTCTTGAATCTGTGAATGGCACCCAAAGGAAGACAATGATTCGAGCTCCATGGATTCACAAGGAGTAAAACACTTCCCGTCATCTTTACATGTTGTATACTCATGGGAAGTCCAGGAGCGGTCATCTGTTGCTTGTGCTAGTTCAGCATGCAAATCACTATTGCTCCTGTTTAGTTGAAAGGGGTCTGATTCTATACCAAAATTGTTTGGCAAACTTTCAAGAAAACTATCTGTTCAGAGAAAAAAGTATTAAGAATTAGTGAAAACTGAAAAAGCAAACTCTAATTCAAAATAATAAAATAACATAAATAGCTATTTTACTTGAATAAAATAGAGGAACTTTAGGATCAGAACCTTCAGCATGTATCTGTTCTGCAGCAAGCTGTGGTGAACCAAAGTGAAATCCAGAACTTGCTTGGTAATTATATTCTACATCAACAATCATGCTCATCAGTGGAATATGAAAGGCATTAATGCATTCATCATCCAGAAAACTAACTTACATTTTCTAAATTGAACAGATTTACAATTTATGATGTCACAGAATAGACATATTGAAGCTAAACAAGGTTCACCTGATTGAGCATTTCCACGTTCCAATACCTCTGCACCATCCGAAAGCAATGGTGTATTTGTATATTCCGAAACTGAAAGCACTTGGCAATCATTTGGATGAGAACCAGGACACCTGGAACTGTCAATTTTAGAATTGGACATAATTTCTTCACTCTCTTGGCCTTGGGAATATGGACATGCTACTTGAGCCTCTTTAACACGATCAATATCTTCACTTTTTCCCTGATATAATTTCAGAAAAAGAATATAAGAAAAAAGGGCTCTATGAGGAAATTGTCCATGCATCTTATTGACAAGAGTAAAGATTACAAAAAGTATCACATGTCTTAGAAATGAAAAAAGATTGAGAAATAAAATTTTTTATATAATTTTTTCATACAACCTTATATATTATTTAATAATTAAATTTTTTTCATTTTACTGAGATTCATGATATAAATATTATATGTATTTATTCATTTAATAACATACAAATTATAAACAAAATTTATATGAAAATATTGTACACATTATTACCCTATCCAAATTCATTACCATATCTAAATTAAAAAAACTGATAAAAATTTATTGTTATAAAAATTCATTATAAAAAACATTGTAAATAACTTTTTTCTTTAGAAAGAAAAGATGTGCAATGTCTTTTTTTTTTTTTTTTCATTTTTGGTAAAAAGTGGGATTAGAATTAACAAAACAGAAACATACAACTAAATTCTAAACTGGAAGCAAAATGCTAAATATATGGTGCAATTTAATTCATCAAAATTTTAGCAACGTTACTCTGTCAGTACCTTTGATTCTGCAGGAATCTGTGAATGCTCCTTAAAGTCCAGCACTCTAACAAAGCTGGCATTGAGAAACTCATCTACGGTATTAGGATGTGAGAAGGAAGACAATGATTGATCCTCCATGGATTCACTACAAGGACAACTTTCAGAATCATCGTTCAATAATTCAAATTTAATGGTTTCCAACAATGAGTTATCCGTTGCTTCAGCATCATTATCACTTTTGCACTTGTCTGATTGAGTGGGGGCCAAATCTATTCCAGGAATGGCTGAAAATTTTTCATGAAAACTATCTGTTCAGTAGAATATTAAAGACACTAATGCATTCATCATCCAGAAACTATCTTGCTTTTTCTCTATTGAATAGATTAGCAATTTATGATGTACTCTAAACCTAGATATATTGAAGCCAAAAAAAGGTTCACCTGATCGAGCATTTTCACGTTCCAATGGCTGTGCACCATTCAGACAGGTATCTTCTAGGCAATTATTTGGATGAGAACCAGAAGACAAAGAACCTTCAATCTCACAATTGTGCATAATCTTTTCAGTTACCTGGGAATGACGAATTTCTCCTTCAGTCTCCTTAACACAACTAAAATC